CCAAATTTCAAAGAGAAGTTGAATTGCTACTAAATTTGCACCCCATCTAAGACGGTCTGTACGCCAAGTTCCAAAACAATTTATAGGATTTTATATTTAGATATTTTATTAAATTCAAACTGTAAAAATTATATATTTATATATAGACATATTTAAAAAGAAATATTTTGGAGGCCCCTCCCACCCAAGATGTTGTATGCCAAATTCCAAAACAATTTATATAATTCTATATTTAGATATTTTCTTAAATTCAAACTAAAAAAAAATATATACTATATATATACATAGTAAAAAAAGTTTGAGAATCCTAGGCGGGCGCTTACCCCTGCTACCCTTAGGACTTGCATTGCATCCAAGAAATCTCAAAGTAATGTATTCATTTCCCCATTCTCTTTCACACACACAAACCCTAGCTAGCTAATTTAATTATGCAATTAGTAAGTATCAGGGAAGATATTTTTATGTACTTCTTTTCTCTCTCTCTCTCTCTCTCTCTCTCTCTCTCTCTCTTTACACTCATGTTTAGTTCTAGTCCTTGATTGAAAAGATCAAATAATAATAAATGGATAAAAGGAGAAAAAGGTGTGCCGAAACTACTTTCTAAAGTATTAACAACTAGGTGCACCAAATTGATTAACTAAATTATTACATATATAAACTCATTGATTTCTCAATGTGTACTAATTAATTACATGTTTAATTTTGTGTCACAGTTTACTTGAGGAATGTTGTCCAAACCCTAAGAAACCAAGGTCGCCCCCTAAAACTAAAAGTACCATCTTGTTCAAAAATTAACAAAGGCAACCAGCAGCCTTGTTAGTACTAATGTTAGTGGTTTTGAACCTGATTATGTTTGTGAAGCACAGACAGTGATTGGTAATAAAGATAGCTTGAAAAGAAAATGTTTTGATGTTGATGATGGTGAAGATCGCAAGTAGGCTGCACCTTCGAATAAGAAGAAAGAAGAGGTGTTTACCTTCAACAATTTGAACGCAAATAGGGTGGTGAGCAAGGGTAAAAATAAGGTAAAATTTGCTATTGGTCTACCGACCCCTGACTTTTCTGAAGAATTCAAGAACTTGATCCTAAGAGCGATAAATGGGACAAGGCTACAAATGTTGGCATAAGAGTTTGTATTGTGCTAACATAATGAGAGACAAAGATAGGTCATCATTGCCTGAATGCAAATCAAATCCAAAGGTTTCCTTAAATTTGATGAGAAAGAGAAACTACATAAAAATAGCCCTCTAAACATTCCATTGATCAACCCAAAACTTGAACTCGACAAGGTATCCTTGGGATTGTAGATTATGTTGAGAAAATCTCAAAAAACCTACATGAAATGACATTGTTGTAAAACTAGTGTAGGCATCCTATTGATTAAATAGGCAATAGCCTAACAAGCAAATGACCTGAAATGAGAGGGAAGCTTGGCATATTGCAGCAGGGTAACAGTGGTTTATATAAGATGCCTATGTTTTTTTTTTCGACTTGGCTGTTTTGCTCAGGAGTATAAGGACAAGAGATTTGATGTAACACCCCTTTAACCTTGAGAAAAGCTTGTAGTTTATGATTTATGTACTCTCCTTCACCATCTGTTTGCAAAGTCTTACTAGTTGCAGAAAACTGAGCTTGACCAAATGTATCAAAAAAGTCGGATTTAGTTATAAGTATAAACACCTAACAAAATCGAGTACATTCATCAATGATAGTTACATAGAATTTGAAACCATCAATTGAATTACATGGAGCAGGACCCCAAAGGTCACTGTGTACAACTTCAAAAGGTATTTGAGATTGATGAGTACTAGATTGAAAAGACAATTTAGTAAATTTCCCTTCTAGGCAACTATGACAGACTATTAGTACATCATCTTTGGAATACCTAATATTAGCTTTACTTAGCATAGTAGAAACAGTAGTATTGGTAGGGTGACCTAACCTACGATGCCAAGAAGATGAACTGATAAGTTGTCCCAAATATGCAGAAACCTTGATATTGCTTGGTGAATAAGAAGAATGATGTTTGGCAAGGGATGAGATGAGGTAAAGTCCATTACTGCATAGCCCTTTGTAGATGATCTTCCCTGTGGCCATGTCCTAAATCCAAAAATAGAAAGCATGAAAAATCAACCAACAATTGTTATCAAGACAAATTCTATATACTGATAATAGGTTCTGAGACAATTTGGGCACATATAAAACAGAATTTAATTTGACAGGATGTACTGGTGTATGAATAACAGTGTTGCCAACATGAGATACTTTTAAACCTTCTCCATTAGCCGTTTGAACTGTCTCATTTGTTGAATATAGAAAGGCTAAAGACAAGTTACTGAGATCAGTGGTCATGTGATTTGTGGCCCCAGAATCAGCAAGCCAAAGTTGCGGAGAAGTCTGAGATGAAGATGCTTGAGAAGATGATGGAACCATATTCTGCATTCCTTGTATAGAGGTTGAAGAGTAAGATAGAACCATAGTATGCATGGCTTGCATTGCAGGCTGAGATGGAAACTGAAGTGCTGAAGGAGCATATGAATACTGAGCCATGGATGGTTGCTGTGGACCAATGTATGAAGGACCCTTATCATTGTAAAAACAGAACCAAGTAGTGTGGTTGTTTTTCCCACAAATCTGGCAACTAGATTTATCCACTATCTTGGAATGGCAAAATGGTGCAATATGACCATAAGCATTACACAACTAACAAAAAACAGATTGAGCAAAAGGCACAGTTGGAGATGGACCAAGAACACCTGAGGTAAGGACATGAGTCTGATTAAATAACTGTTGTCTTAATGCAGGATACCTATACCCTTGATTGAACTTTCCTTTACCCTTTTGTTTATTATTGTTGAACTGCCTAAAACCATCAGTGTGACCATGAAATGATCCAGCAGATGAACTATATGTCATATGACCAGGATTAGATTGAGTAGAATAAGTGGAAGACTTAAGTTCAGAAATGTTATTGGTATTAGCAACCATGGCAGAGAAAAGCTGAGATGATACATTGCTCTCTACAATTAGCTATTCTGCTAGTAATTATGACCTAAAGTCTTTAAGAGAAATTACACTTTCCCTGCCTCGAATAACACATCGGAAAGTATTGTACTCATGAGGCAAGCCATTGAGTGCCAATATGACAATGTCCTTATCAGCAAAGTAAACCCCAGTAGCAGACAAGTAATCTCGAGCCTCTTTAATTCGTTGCAAATACTTAGACACATAATCTGACCATTTCTTAATAGTTTGCATATTAGATTTCATCTGAAATATGTTGGTTCTTGAAACAGTAGAGAATTGTTCTTTCAATCTATTCCAAAGATCACAGGCACTAGAACTACCAATAACACAAGAAATGGCAGCAAATGATAAAATTGCAGTAATCAGTTGCATCAATGCTCGATCATGCATTTTCCAACAACATAGGCATCATTCTCAATTTAAGAAGAAAAATCACCAAAAACTATACCAGATTCACTTGAATTAACAATAAATCGAGAAGGACAGAGATTGGAACCATCAATAAACTGCATAATTCCATGACCTTCTAACAATAATTGCATTTGAAATTGCAAATTCAAGTAATTCGTATCATCAAGCTTAATATTCATAAAAGTAGAAATTGTGGAAATGAGAGTAGTAATTGGAGATTAAAGAATATGAAGTTGTGATACAGTTACCATATTTGCAAACTTCGAAGAAAATTGTCACTTAGACACCAGAACAAATACCTGGTGTGCAGCAAACCTTCAACACAGTGTCAAAGATCCTAATTTGTAGCAAACCCTAGAAATTGAGAGAAGAAAAAGATCGTCAAACGCACAGAGAGAGAACGCGATCGCAAGCTGAAATCGTAAAGGCTATATCAAATTGGAGAAGCATAAGCAACAGAAGGATCAAACAGATTAGCGTGAGCTGATCCGGCGATTGATACCATGTTAATATGTATATAAATATATCAGAGAGAATTATCAAGAACTAGAGAGAGAAAGTAGGAAGAGAGGGAGAGAGAGAGATGAATGTGTTGTTTGTATTAATTTCTTACACAAGAAGTCATTACACTTAGACTTATACAGGAGCCAAATTAATGTAACTAACTAACTAACTAACTAAATGCACAATCTGTTGATAAGTATCACAATCACATAACACTAATATATCCTAACAGACAAACCTATTGAAATTGGGCAAACTATTTGGCATTTTATTTGGATGTTTAATTAGGTGGGGTCTTGTCTAGACAATATAAGCAATGGTGTACATCTAAAGAATCCTATAAAAAAAAAATAGTTATGTATGAGAGTCTGGGTCATGTCTCAATCTCAAAGCTAATTATCCTCTTAGACTAGCTAATGATCATTGCTTTGGTAAGTCATTGACTCATCAACTAGCTAATTAAAGGAAGAGTCCACATACACTTCTAATTAGCTTGTTGATGAGAAAATAGCTTACACCGACTTAGTCTAATTAATTAGTTGGTGAAACAATAGCTTATTAGATGTGACTTGTGAGCCTATATATTGATTATTGCTTTGATAAACCTATTGATCCGTCGACCATGCTAGCCCTTTTCGTTTTTGTTGTAATTTATATGTAATTATAATTGATGAGTTAATGGTTATCCATATTGATCCTACAATATTTTGTAAACATACTATGAGAAATAGCTGCTTGAAAATGGATTGCAGTTTCATTTGAGTTGGTTTATAGGTAGTTTGTCACAGTCTGACCATTTGTTTGTGGGGAAATGATAAACACATCTCTAGCACGTTTCTACTTAATTTTGGCCGTTGTTTTCATTTGATTTATTCAAATCGACGATCAAAAATAAATCAGTGTTAAAAAACTTAAAATGATGTGTGAAAATCACATCCGTTGTTTGTTTTAGTTTGGGCTTCATTTTTGAAAAGAATATATGAAAAGTAAAAAGAAATGTATGGATTGCACATCTCTTTTTAAAATTGGTTTACTCTTTTGGGCTTAATAAAATTTTATTTCAAAAAATGAAAAAAATAAAAATACCAAAATACCGAAGATATTCACTGCCGGCGGACAATGGCACCCATGAACTCGGCACCTCTTCTTCTTCGGCAATCTCTCCCGCCAATATCGTCTCCATTCGAAACTCTGAAACCGAAAACTCCACTGCCAGTGCACAATAGCACGCTCGGCGCACGAACACCTGCATATTCACCTTGTTATATAAGAGTTTGCACTGGTAAAACAACCAAAAGAAGTGGAAGTGGAAGTGGAAGAGGAAGCAGAAGAAACCCAGATGACTACCATGCCACTCTCACAGCTCTCAACTCCAAAGGCCGATTTCCCAGAAAATCCCTCGGCCAGGTTACTCATTTCCTTCTCTCTCTCTCTCTCTCTCTCTCTCTCTCTCTCTCTCTCTTCCCCTTCCCAGAAAATCAAAATTTTCTTTCTTTCTTTTCAAATTTTATGTTTGGCTGCTGAGAAAATGTATGGAATTGATACGATTTTAAGATGTGGGTTTTGTTCCAATTATGTTTTCGTATATGTATGCCAAAATTTATTGTGTGTAGTAAGCTAGAAAGGGTAAGTAGCATCTGATTTGTTATAATATATTTGGTTCTGAATTTATTTAGTTTGTTAAATTTTGGTGTATTTGCAGCATTATATGTTGGACTCTGAGATCAACGATGAGCTCACTGCTGCGGCCGATGTTGGGGAAGGTGATGTGGTGTTAGAAATTGGGCCGGGAACAGGTTCTTTGACTAATACTCTTATTAGTGCTGGTGCAGTTGTGCTCGCAATCGAAAAGGTTGTGTTTGTGTGTGTGTTTCTTATTTCGTATGCAATGGGTCTTTGAATTTGAAATTCTGCAAAAAGAGTGGTATTTGTCGCAATTTCAAATTGTTTTGGTGTTGTGTATTGATTTGGAATAATGTTTTACGTGCTTTAGGATTCACACATGGCTACTCTTGTGAGTGAAAGATTCGTGCAGACTGACCGGTTGAAGGTAAACCACATTTTGTTCACAAATGTCCTCAGAATGTTATATTTCGTCGAGCATTCTAGAGGACCTTGGTAGTAGTACATTTCTAAAAGTACTCCTGATCTGGAGCAAGATCCTATGAATTCTGGACATAATGGAATTTAAATGTTTATGCTACTCCTTATGTTTACCGCTGATGCCATTGTGAATAGCAACTCAAGTTCTTCAACTGAAACCTGTAGGTTTTGAATGAGGACTTTGTCAAATGCCACATTCACTCACATATGTCGTCCTTATTGGGAAGTATAGAGCCATCTGGTCCAAATTCAAGACTTGCAAAAGTGAGAACCCTGCTTGATTGCCTTAGAATGAATTTGACTTCCTAACGACCTGCTAATTTCTCAACGATGCATGCTCAAATGAAAACAGTTAGTCTTTTTACATGTTTACAAGTTTACAAGAATCTAAAATAGCTCATTCTCTTCATTGCAGGTAGTCGGTAATATACCCTTTAATATAAGTACAGATGTTGTCAAACAACTTCTTCCAATGGGGGACATCTTTTCTGAAGTTGTTCTCTTACTCCAGGTAGGAATTCTTTATTAATCTATGATTGTAAAGGTTTTGGTTTTCACTTAAATGTTATCTGGATTATATATCTCATCCGAGCATAGCATGAAGCTAAAAGCTTTATAGGATAGGGAAATGAGGGATAGTAATAAATTTGGATCTTTTAGGGCAACTCCGGGTTTGAGTTGTGGAAACAGCCTCTTTGCAAAGCAAGCGTAAGGCTGCGTATGGTAGACTTTCCTTCCCCCCAACCCTCGCAAAGTGGGGAGCCTTGTTGGCTTGGGGCCACCCTTTTAGGAGTGGAACAAATCAAACTGGATCCATAGACTTCTGAATCTATGGATCTGATATGGGTCACAATTTGGTTCCTTCCATCACTATAATGGTAATGTTATTTCAGGAGGAGGCAGCTTTGCGCTTGGTGGAACCATCTTTGCGGACATCCGAGTACCGGCCCATCAGTATCTTCGTCAATTTCTATTCAGGTATCTCTATCTTTGTATTTAAGTTGTACATAGTAGGCTATTGATCATTTAATTTAATTAAATTTTACTGAAAGACTGAGATGAGTTAGACTTACAGTCTGATACATGTCACGTTATTCCTCCTTTAACCACTGTTGGTAATCGAGTATTAGTATTCGAGGAGATATACAAGATAACAAGGAGAAGACATCAATGTTTGTTACTGAAGAGTTCTGGCGCCGTACCAAGTTACTTTCAAATTATTCACATATTCTTTTTTCTGACCTGGTTTCTGTTTGTCATTTCCCTTTTCAGATCCTGAATTCATAATGAAGGTCCCAAGGACAAAATTTTTTCCTCAGCCTAATGTAAGAATTTATAATCCCATAAGAGGAAAAAATTATGCCTTCTAACGATGTCGATTGTAATTTGCTTGATGAATTGAGAACATAACAGACCAATTTATTTTTAAAAGACTTAAACCGAATAGTAACTAACCACAAATGCAGATTGACTGATTTTGCTTATGTTGCAGGTTGATGCTGCCGTTGTTAAATTTAAACTGAAGCAACCTGTAGACTACCCCCCAGTTTCCTCTACGAAAAGCTTCTTCTCAATGGTTTGTTCAATTTCTGTAGTCGGTATCATTCTTTTAGACTATCATTACAGATTTTCATTGCATTAAG